AGGCTTGTTATGCGCTCAATAGGTGAAGAAGGAGGCTAGGTATATGTGTTTAGAAGAGTGAATTCTCCAGCATGAAAACTTCACAAGAGTGGGAATGGTATTTAGAAGAATTGGCTAGGTTCTTTTGAAAAAACTTAAGGAGGAACTCACCAACTAGGCGCACAAGAGAGGGAGAAAATTAGTGTATCAAATCAGAATTTGTACTTTACTTATAATGAAAGTGGCACACAAGTGAGTGAGACAAAGGTGGAGTTGTTGCAATTCAAAAATCCCAACAACCTCCCCTTTGAATCCTTATAAGACTAGGTCTTTATCTAGTCAAAATTCTGAACCAATGGTCATCATATGACCACCAATTCATGCGCCCCTATTCAGCCCAAAAAGGGTCCAGATACATTTGAGCTGTTGCATTCAAGTTTGAACCAACTAGCTCACTGATTCTCTCAACAACCAAATCTGATTGGAGCTTGTTGGTTTGACAAGATGACAATCATCTCCCACCAAAATGGCGCCCTAAATCATCCCTTGGAGATCTCCATAGATCTTCTCTTGATACAAGGGATTTGTTCCAACATGATCTCATCTTATCCTTTTGTTATGAAACAACTTTTGATAGCCAATTCAAATTCGAATTCAAACATTTAAATTCAAAACATTTAAATTCTAAATTCAAATTCAAATTTCAAATTCAAATTCAAATTTCAAAATTCAAATTCAAAATTCAAATTTCAAAATTCAAATTTTAAATTTCAAATTCAAAATTCGAATTTCAAAATTCAAATTTCAAAATTCAAATTTCAAATTCAAAATTTAAATATTTGATAATTAATTTAATTAGTAATGTCTTAGACCATCCAAGTCCATTAACATTACCATGCGCCTTCTCCCTTTTAGGTGGGCTTCCAAACTTCATCTTGGGCTAACAACCATTATTAGGCCCAATACCTTTAATGCTATATCATCATGACATTAAGGTGTTAGTGTGTGACCCATTAGGTTCAACATAGCCACAGACATAAATGGGCTCGGGCCCAACAAGCCCACAACCCATTTAATGACAACACAGAGCACTAGCAATGCTTTGTTGCCCCAGAGCTAGTTAGATTAATGACTTGATCATCCTATTACACATATTTGGTTGCCGTATGTATTTTTTTTGTCTCGGTTACCTTTCCATAAAACCTAGGGTAAGGAAGCGTATCAACCCTTGCGGTTTAGGGTAAGCTTTATTCAAAATAGGGAATCTTCAATTTACTGACTCTAAAGTCAGATCATCTCATGATCTCTTTTACTATGCATAGATTCCCGAGTCCCTGTAAATGTCATCCTGATTTCTCTGGTTTACAGATAACCTAATCTCTCACAGAGATTTGACGAATTCCTTCAGCTTATCACCCTAGCCCTGTGCTCTTTCAGGACAAGCCCAACAGTATACCTATGAGTCTTTATGTTTCAGGCAGACGAGGTATACAGTCAAAGCATGCCTTCCAGAACACAGTCTAGGTAATAACTTCTGGTCTAAGGAAAGACATACCTAAATATAAAGAGACTACTCTAATGATACTCTCTGTGAGATTTTATCATAGAGTCTATTTGTGGGTCTGTTCAGTGCGAGCTATACCCTTATAGATCCACCCATGACTTTAGCTAAGACATCTTCATATCTGTAGCTCATGAGGTCTTTACCTTGCATTCGAATACAAGTAGATAAGTCGTGCTAGTCTTACCCGAGATCACTGATCCCCATTCTCAGTGTCTCTAGACTAGGAACATAAAATTAGGAATGAATATCCAGTATCCTTGAATCCTCATGATCGTGATCTCATCACAGATACTCAAGAGATACCTATTTTATTCCAAGGAGTTTATCCAGTTACTCATATAAAATATTAACACTAATATTGAGACAAAATATGAAACAGGACAATACAAAGGTCCAAATATGTCCTAATCTAATTAAAAGATTGTCTCTAGGACATCCATATACTAACAGTTATTATTTTCGAACTTATATTACACATGTAAGTGAGCTTAGGGTGGAGAGATGTTTGAGGACCTCTTGTTTTACTGAGATTTTTGTTAGAGATCTCACCATGTGTGGAGCACATTTTTAGGTACAGGTATTTCTGAGGCTAAGACCTCTGGTGGTAGGAGGCCGGAGTTGAGCTGATATTATGCATGCTTCTTTGTTACCTTATTTGGTTGCTATTATACTTGAGACATGATATGACTATGTTGTTTTATTTGGTGAGCATGAGGGTTGTCCATGCCACATTTGAACAATTTGTGCTTATTGTACACTCGAGTTGTATAAGTTGTATCAAGATATTGTCTGGTCTACCTGTCGTAGTTCCATGACTTGATACTATACTTATGAAATGAGGTTATTCAGTGTAGTTCTTTATTGCAATTTACATACATGTTATGAATAAGTAAATTCACTTGGTTAATATAATAAGATTCATAATTTAAAATTTTAGCTTCCGCAATACGGGGAATTAGGATTACAATAATTGGAATTAGGAATTTTCACGTGGCAATATGGGGAAAGGATAATAAATATGTTAAGACATTAAAACAATGAAATAGAATAGTATTAGGATAAAAAGAAAAAGTTTATCCTCCTTTTTACAGTAATTAAAAGCTATACTTAGTTTAAGTCTTTCGCTTAAATCATAGTTTTATAACGCGCTATTGTACCATATGCATGTTAACTAACCGGTTGCAGGATGGGATGTTACAATAAATGCATTGGAGGGTGCTAGTTTGGAAATGATATTTTCACTTTATTTCTGGCTTTAATGACATTCCCTATTTCATCTTAAAATATTCTCTAATTTTTTATGTACTTAAAATACGATTAGAGTATCATTAAACACATAAATCAACTGGTGTGAAATTCTTTCAAATTAATTAGTGGTCTTAAATTCGAATTCTAAATATATAATTCTGTTAAAAACTTGGGACGAAGAATTTGTTAGGTCACATAGGGAGTCCATGATAGACGGATATCTATTATTATATGGGTTACACTGCAAACTTTTTATCATAAGTGAGTTTTTTTTTTTTTTTTTTTTGGATACAATATATAATAAGTGAGCTTTGACACTATATATATCTTAGGAAAATAATTTTTTTTATGTTGTAAGAAAATACTTCTCTTATTGAGTAGAAACAAAATTATAAGTGGAACCCACACGTAAGAGGAGAAAAAAAAATAAAGATGGGACCTACCTCTCTTTTGTGTGTGTAGGAAATTGGCTTATCTTATGTAACATGAAATAAATATATACCAAATATCTTAACCCAAACCTTTTAAGACATTGATGTTAGAAAATTATATTTTCTAATAATTATTGTGGGTCACATATTATATTAATAATTATATTGTGCTATTTATATATATATTGGGTAAATTAAAGTGATCAGTTAAATATTCTCAAATAGATTCCTAAATGAGTATGGACTGAATGAGTGGATACCGGTGTTGGGCCAACTAGGTATAATGGGAGCTTATTGGCCCAACAATAAAGATAAAAACACTATAAGGGTTATGGTCCTCAAGACGTCAAATTACAATCCTAGTTTCTCTTCCCCATCAAGATAGAGACGGCACACTAAGGAATTCGGTTTTAGGGTGATTTGACTGAGGAAGACTACAAACCCCAAAAGACAAGATCAAAGTTATTCCGCTGCAATAGAGACAAGTATGCCTCCACCTTTATGTAATTATTTTTTTATGATTTGGTATGATGGAGCTTGGCTTGTAAGTGATAGTTATTACCAAAAGGTTTAGAGGAATTAAAAAATTCCAACAATTAGTATCAGAGCCAATATCATATTGAATCACGAGGGAATTAAGTTTTTGTTTGATCCTTATATATGACTTTAAATAGAGAAACTGGTTTATATGATTATAAGACCCATAATCAATTGCGATTTTTTTTTTAAATCTAAATTGTTGTGTAAACGGTCTCTCTTCCCTCTTTTATATACTATACTGTATACAATTGGAACCAGCCCACAGTGTTAACCATTTGAAATCAATTTTCGATTGTCGTGCCAAGTCTTTAATTGATTTGTCGTGAGTATTATTGTAATCGTGATTTCTTTTGTCTCGATTTTCGTGAATTGCATTGTTGGCAAATTTGTTGCACTGAATATGTTTATTGGCAATCGTCTTGTTTTACATGAATTGGTTATGGCATATATATATATATAATATGCAAACAATTCATATCAGTTTTGAATATCGATTGTTAGTAATCACCGATTTGGATACATGGTAAATTTCATGTTATACAATTGGTTTTAATGGTTGCACCGATACTGTTTGGCATATCATAACTGTTAATATCAGTGTCGTTATTTATTTTGTGGTGAAAACAGTATGTATTAAAATACATTAAAATTGATAATAAACATTTTTTATATTTATTATTATTATTTTTTTTAAATGGGTTTGTTGGTCGCAATGTTCACATCTGGAATTAAACTATAATAGATTTATTAGCCGTCACAGTGGCCAAATTTATAAAGGTTAATTTGATTTCAAATAGGTTGGTCATATAAATATATTTTATTTATGCAAATAATAATCGGCCCACAAGAAGGTTATTGTTTGGCCAAATAGCATATGTTGTGTGATCATGTGTGTGTTTATTGCTTATCCGGATAGTGATCGGCCCACAGAAAGGTTATTATTTGACCAAGTAACAAACATACTTGTGGTAATAAATATGTGACAATTATCAAGAATTCTCCATGTAATTCATAGTCGGTCCACAAGAAGGCTATGATTTGACAGGACTTATTGTCAATGTTTGATTACTACATTAAGAGTACCACTTACAAGTTGATATTTTTGTCCACAGACTAAATATTAATGTTATGCTAGGTATCTTATAATAAACTCATTTTACTTCGGATTATTTGTCTATATCATGTATGTAATTTATTTATGATGTGTTTGAATATATATGATATGACATGTTATTAGTATGTTATCTTATTTTGTTCTCTTTATAGTTTCTGCTACCGCTGCCAATTATGTTGCTCAAATGAATATGCTTCCAATGCTTAATGGGGCAAATTTCAAGCTGTGGAAAGAGAATGTGGAAATTGTTCTCGGCTGCATGGATCTCGACAATGCGCTAAGGACTGAGAAATCCACTTCTACTCAGAAAAATCCAAACACGGATAAAATTGAGAAGTGGGAACGCTCAAATCGCATGTGTCTGATGATCATGAAACGTTCCGTTCCGGAGGCATTTAGGGGCTCGATTATTGAGACTACTGATGCCAAGTTGTTTCTGAAGGAACTCGAGCAATACTTTGCTCGAAATGAAAAGGCTGAAATTGGTCAAACCTTGTCCAAACTCATAAACATGAGGTATAAAGGAAAGGGAAACATAAGGGAGTACATTATGGAAATGTCTAATCTTGCTGGAAAACTAAAGGCATTAAAGTTAGAGCTGCCCTCTGAGTTGCTCATGTACTTAGGTATTATCTCTCTTCCTGCATAATACGGTCAATTTGTGGTAAGTTATAACACTCAAAAGGAAAAATGGACTCTTAATGAGCTCATTTCTCACTGCGTGCAAGAAGAAGAGAGGTTACAGCGAGAGAAGACTGATAGTGCTCACTTGGCATCAACCTCTCAAGACAAGAAAAGAAAGAGTGTTAAGGATAATGCGGACGCTTTGCCAAAGAAGCAAAAGAAGCAGGACCAGGAATTCACCTGATTCTTTTGTAAGAAATCTGGACACATGAAGAAAGAGTGTCCCAAATACAAGGCATGGCGCGAGAAGAAGGGTATGACTCTCACTTTAGTTTGTTCTGAAATTAATTTAGCTACTATACCTATTGATACTTGGTAGGTAGATTCAAGTGCTACTACTCACATTAGTATGTCTATGCAGGGTTGCCTGTGGAGTCGACCGCCAAGTGATGTTGAGAGATACATCTTTGTGGGCGATGGCAAGAAGGTTGCATTTCAAACTATTGGGAATTTTAAATTATTGTTAAAAACTGGTGTTTATTTGTATTTGATTGAGACATTTGTTGCACCGTCATTTAGACGGAATTTAATTTCTATTTCTAGTTTGGACAAATGTTAAATTTCATTTGGAAATGTTAAATTTTGTCTTTTGCTTAATTCAAATATTGTTGGTACTAGTTCTTTGATTGATAATCTTTACATGTTTGATACTGTTTCTACTGATAATGAAATATTGCACTCGAGTGCAAATGGTACAAAGCGAAAGTTAAAAGAGAATTCTGCCATTCTGTAGCATAAGCGTTTAGGTCATATCTCTAAACAGAGAATTCAGAGGCTTATGACTGATGAAATTCTTGAACCCCTTGATCTGGATGATTTTGAGGTGTGCATTGAATGCATAAATGGGAAACAGACAAACATAAGGAAAATAGGTTCCAACAGAGCTTCAGACGTCTTAGAATTGATTCATACGGATATTTGTGAACCATTTCCTATAGCCTCTTGGAATGGTCAACAATACTTTATCACATTCATAGACGACTATTCAAGATTTGGATACCTATATTTGATTAGAGAGAAGTCACAATCATTGGATGTGTTCAAAGAATTTAAAGCTGAAGTTGAACTTCAGTTAGGCAAGAAAATTAAGGCCATTAGATCTGATCGTGGTGGTGAATACTATGGTAGATCTGATGGATCAGGTGAACAACGTCTAGGGCCCTTTGCGATCTTCCTAAAGGAGTGTGGAATCGTCCCGCAATACACAATGCTAGGTAAACCTAGCATGAATGGTGTTGTAGAAAGGCGAAATCGGACTCTTAAAGAGATAGTGAGGAGTATGCTTAGTCATTCTTCATTGCCAGAATCACTTTGGGGAGAAGCACTAAAGACTGTAGTTTATATCCTTAATAGGGTTCCCAGCAAAGCAGTGACAAAAACCCCTTATGAGCTATGGAATGGAAAGAAACCTAGCATAAGGCATTTACACATTTGGGGTTGTCCAACAGAAGTAAGGCCTTATAGGTCAAATGAAAGAAAGTTGGACTCAAGAACAATCAGTTGTTATTTTGTTGGATATGTTGAACGCTCTCAGGGCTTTAAGTTTTATAATCCCACTACAAGATCCTTTTTTGATACGGGAAATGCCAGATTCCTTGAGGATGTTGAGTTTGGGGGGGAAGATAAAATAAGGAATGTTGTCTTTGATGAGGAAGATAATTATATTTCTCTTCCTAATATTGTCATCATTCAAGATGCAATTACGGAACAAGCAATTAATGATCAGGTCCCTGTTCATGACATTGTTATGGAACAGGCTTTGGTCCCTGACATTGCTTTGGGTCAAGACAATAATGAACCACCCCATATGCCACCTATAGAACAAACTCAACAAACTCAAGAAGTGCCAATAAGGAGATCCACTAGAGAAAGAAGAAATGCAATTCCGGATGATTATATTGTGTTTATTCAAGAGCATGAAAATATTTTAAGCTTGAAGGAAGATGATCCAATCAACTTCCAACAAGTCTTAGAAAGCTCTAATGCTCATAAATGGATTGATGCCATGAAAGATGAGATGCAATCTATGAAAGACAACGACATTTGGGATCTTATTGAGTTGCCTAAAGGTGCGAAACCCATTGGTTGTAAATAGATATTTAAAACCAAAAGGGATTCAAATGGCAACATCGAAAGATATAAGGCACGTCTAGTTGCTAGAGGTTTCACTCAGAAAGAAGGCATAGACTATAAAGAGACTTTCTCTCCGGTTTCTACGAAGGACTCTTTTAGGACAATAATGGCGCTTGTGGCTCATTTGGATTTGGAGCTACATCAGATGGGCGTAAAGACAGTGTTTCTCAATGGTAACATTGATGAGACAATTTATATAGTGCAACCAGAAAACTTTGTATTGGGAGATTCAAAGTCTATGGTTTGCAAATTGAAAAAGTCCATCTATGGCCTTAAGCAAGCTTCTCGTCAATGGTACCACAAATTCCATCAGGTTATTATCTCTTATGGCTTTGGGGTCAACTTAGTGGAAGATTATGTGTATCACAAGTTCAGTGGGAGTAAATTCATATTCCTGATACTATATGTTGATGATATCTTACTTGCCAGTAGCGATGTAGGCTTATTGTAGGAAACCAAGAAACTTCTCACTAAAATTTTTGAGATGAAGGACCTTGGTGATGCATCTTTTGTCTTAGGAATACAGATACTTCGAGATCGCGCTCAAGGTATCCTACGGTTATCACAAAAGGCCTACATTGAAAAGATTTTGGATAGATTTGGCATGAAGAATTGTACGTCAGGAGA